TGCATCTATTCAGAAATGTACTCTTTTCTTCTTCCAAGAAACATAAAAGCTGTTGATCTGTGCACAGGCGTTTAGCTGGGGGCATTACCCAAGACAGCATGGGCACATCAACCGAAGATAAGGAATGAGGGCTCTGGGGACACATTCCTGCACGTAACCATGCCAGCCTGGCACTGCACAGTGTTCGCACTCCTCCAATTAAGCTGTTCAGTTCTCAATCACCGGGAGCTGATGCCAACTGCTGGCTGCTGATAATCAAGAGTGGCTGAGCCTGGAATGCCAGCAATCCTGCCTCTTTGCCTCTCCTGCCCTGGCTTCACTGTACTCTTCCAGCCTCCACATGCCAGTCGGGTACTAACTTCCCTCCCCCTGGGTGATATGGAAAGAGACACCTGGGAAGGTGCAGTGGGGCCACTATGCAGTGTCTGCAGTCTATGCCTGGTGCTTCAGTGCTGTAAACACCACCTATTCACGTGGGAAGTCAATTCTTGTTCCTGGGGAGAGCAATCAGCGTAGGTAGTGAGGAGAATGCCGGCTAAGCATACATTCGTTCCCAGCCTGGGCTGGTGCTCTGTATACTTGATCTCCAAGAATCTTTACATCATGCAAGAAGGTAAATATGGTGTCCAATTCCACAAATAAAGAAGCTATGGAAAGCCAAGTTACATAACAATGTGTCTATCATCTTCTCTACATTCCCGTCACTAAAATCCTGAACTAGAAATTTACCATTATCCCTTAAACCTTGAAAAAACCTGCCTCTGTTGTTTAGCCTCTAGATTCTGTGCTCTAGACATTGTTCAGTACTGTAGCCATTAGCCACGTCTGGCTATTGAGCACTTGAGCGAACTGTGCTGTTAGTGTAAATTACACATTGGATTTTGAAGACTTGGTATAAGAAAAGACATAAAATAACCCATTAATCCCTAGAGTGCTTGTGTTTGATTCTCAGCACCCACCCAGTGACCAGATAGTTAGCTGACCAAAATAATCATTTTGAAAATAAACAAATATTCATCTGAAGGTCACCTTGATGGAAATAGGAGGTAGGCAAGACTTCCCAGTGATCAGAGGGTATAAATGCAGCTAAGATCGGGACCCACTGTCCTACCCTTTGGACACCCTGCATGGAGTTTTCATGGAGCAGAGAGTGACCTATGTTCCCTGCCTCCAACCCCCAGCCTCTCTCCACAGTGCAAGCAACTCTGGAGAGCTGTATCCTGCATCTATTCAGAAATGTACTCTTTTCTTCTTCCAAGAAACATAAAAGCTGTTGATCTGTGCACAGGCGTTTAGCTGGGGGCATTACCCAAGACAGCATGGGCACATCAACCGAAGATAAGGAATGAGGGCTCTGGGGACACATTCCTGCACGTAACCATGCCAGCCTGGCACTGCACAGTGTTCGCACTCCTCCAATTAAGCTGTTCAGTTCTCAATCACCGGGAGCTGATGCCAACTGCTGGCTGCTGATAATCAAGAGTGGCTGAGCCTGGAATGCCAGCAATCCTGCCTCTTTGCCTCTCCTGCCCTGGCTTCACTGTACTCTTACAGCCTCCACATGCCAGTCGGGTACTAACTTCCCTCCCCCTGGGTGATATGGAAAGAGACACCTGGGAAGGTGCAGTGGGGCCACTATGCAGTGTCTGCAGTCTATGCCTGGTGCTTCAGTGCTGTAAACACCACCTATTCACGTGGGAAGTCAATTCTTGTTCCTGGGGAGAGCAATCAGCGTAGGTAGTGAGGAGAATGCCGGCTAAGCATACATTCGTTCCCAGCCTGGGCTGGTGCTCTGTATACTTGATCTCCAAGAATCTTTACATCATGCAAGAAGGTAAATATGGTGTCCAATTCCACAAATAAAGAAGCTATGGAAAGCCAAGTTACATAACAATGTGTCTATCATCTTCTCTACATTCCCGTCACTAAAATCCTGAACTAGAAATTTACCATTATCCCTTAAACCTTGAAAAAACCTGCCTCTGTTGTTTAGCCTCTAGATTCTGTGCTCTAGACATTGTTCAGTACTGTAGCCATTAGCCACGTCTGGCTATTGAGCACTTGAGCGAACTGTGCTGTTAGTGTAAATTACACATTGGATTTTGAAGACTTGGTATAAGAAAAGACATAAAATAACCCATTAATCCCTAGAGTGCCAGGGAGTGCAATCACGCTCCTCCTGTCTTTCGTCAAAAGTGCCGGGAGCGCTATCAAAGTTTCGAAATGACGTCCAGTTCTAAGTCAAGTCTGCTTTTATTAGTGATGATGCTATTGCTAAATATGTCAATGTAGTAAAGGTTTCCTTAAGTTTTTGAATATGTAACTTCATTTACTTGCGATTCATAATTTTTTTCCTAAACTGCTATAAAATCAGCAAAAATGCCTTGGCAGTTTTAGCATAGTTCCTAGGATATTGGTTGGCATTCAAAGGGTTAAAATATATTTGACATTTCAAATGTGCAAACTCTTCCCCCACAGACAAGTCTCCTGTTCACTTCGCTGAAGTGAAGGTAACTGTTGACTGAAGTATAGAAAGTACGGCCCTGCTCAGGTGCCATTGGGAATACTGGTCAAAGTTACTGGAAAAGTGAACCCTTTTTATTTATTTATTGTTTAAAAATATATTTTATTGATTTTTTACAGAGAAGAAGGGAGAGTGAAAGAGAGTTAGAAACATCGATGAGAGAGAAACATCCATCAGCTGCCTCCTGCATATCCCCCACTGGGGATGTGCCCGCAACTCAGGTACATGCCCTTGACCGGAATCGAACCCGGGACCCTTCAGTCCGAAGGCCGACGCTCTATCCACTGAGCCAAACCGGTTTTGGCTCCTTTTTCTTTTTTAATGTTCCTAGTAGAAATTTAAAGTTACTCACATTGCTTACATTTATGGCTCATAATATCTATGAATTGGATTGTGCAGTGTTTAGAGACTGATCAGAATGTTTGAAGCACAAACTGACCACCTCACCTTCCTGCTCCTGTAGGCAGTGGGACAAATTCCCAGTAAGGCTGATAGGACCCTCCCTGTTCCTTCCTCATCTCTCTCGTGTCTCCCATACTCCACTTTTAATTTCATGCTCCTGGAACCTCCATGTAATCATTCACCCCACCACAGTGTTTCTAACATCACTACCTTG